CAAAAAGCATCACTTTGAGAATGTAGATATTTTTGGTGACATTAAGATCTAAATGAACATAACATATCAAAGCTGTCTGAATATATTCACAGATCAGTAATATTTCTATCATGATTTTGGCAAAAAGCCGGTCAATTTAATTAAACATATACAATAGTACACCTACTGGGTGCTGCGTGCTCTAGTATGGTGTTGTTTACAACTATGACTAAAAGCTGTGAAAGCAATTTAGACCTGCATTAGAAGAAACGAAATAGAATGGGGGAAAAGAGAAGACACCAGAAAGCATCAAAAGTAAATAAGAATATGTAAAATATTATGAATGCTTTGTCTCAGTTATAGATATGCCCTCATACATGGGTGTGTGAGGTGACAATAGTAATACGTATCTCGGTGTGGATCAGGGCTGCAAGTTTTTAAACACTCTGCAATAGGATCTCTGGGTCCTACACGCCCTATAAGGTAGAGCTGCCACCCTCAAGAACCTTCTAGATGTATGGCAAATACCTAGCTGAATAGAAATAAAATCCCAGGAACGATCAAAGAAGGGAGGCAGATCTGTGCTTTAGGGTCTGGGAAAGTGGTTGATAGGAAGCTTAGAAGATGGGCTGAGCCCTGGAGGGTAGAGGAGGAGAGAGGGGCTCTGGGTAGTGACACAGGAGCTAACTTCAGGGAACACGGAGTGACTCTGCCACAGCCCCAGGGCCCTTGGCTAGGAAGGCAGTTCAAACCACACTGAGACATCCAGACCAGGAGGTGTTCGTAATTTGATAATAGCAGGAGAGGAGGAGGGGAGCGTGGAGGGAGTACATCTTTAGAAAGTTTAAGGTAGCAAAGACTTACAGGATGGAAGACTGGGCACTTCAGTCAGTGCCCGAGGGTGGCTGGAAGATAGGACAGGGCCTAGATGAATGGTTGTCAACGGCTTGAGGTGGGGGTGGGTTTGAGATTGGTAGTACAGATAGAGATCAGAATGGTGATGCATAAAATAGGTTTGAAAAAGAGTTGTTATTATACTTCCTGCTTTCACAACCCACCAGAAAGTGTCACTGTGAAATCCCTTTTGGAGATGGGAGTGTGCACCACATTTTAAAAGAACCCTAACTGCCCAGGTCCTGGCTAGTTCTGGCCTCTGTTGGATTACTTTATTTTAGGAATGAGCCCACTGAGGCTAAAAGAGGTGACCTGGCTCACCAGGACAGAGATGGATTCAGGCCTCAAGCCTTCCAAATCCCAATGGTGTTCATTCCATCGCCATGTATCATGGATAGTTTTTGTCACAAGTGTAACTGAGGCAGGGGTGGGGGTTGGGGGAGGCGGGACTTGCTGGAAAAGTTTGCCAGTTGGAGTCAGATCTTCACTCCTGTTGTCTGCTTTCTGTCAGACTGCCCTTCTGATAGGCTTTGCAGGAAATGGGAATTTGTAAAACAGGCAGGAGGCCTTTCCCCATGGCCCCTGATCGGGGCAAATATCACTTTGGCCACACGACACACCAAATCCTGTCCACACACAACTATTGGAATTAAAAAGATAAAATACCAAAGCAATGTAAAGCAGCCGCATTCTAAGACCTCCTATCTATCAACCTGTGGTCACAGATACATTTACGGGCTTTTAAAATTAGGGTCTGTTTCTAATTTCCTATTAGCTTATCAATGTCTTGACCTTTTCCTCATTCATTATTTAATTAATTTATCTGTTTCCCTGTGTCATTCCCAAGTGCACATTTCCCATAAACTTCCAGGGACAGTTTATGAAAATGAAAGAGCATTTTTCCTCGGTCATGTTTTCATCGTTATAACTTCTGAGAACAATTTCTTGCGAGATGTTTTGGGAGTTGTATTCCAGAACTTATTATCTTCATGGTCTTCTCCCGGTAGGATGAAGAAATGATCTTGCCTTGAGAGTTGCTCTGAGTTTTTCGGTTCCAGTATAAAAGATAAATGTCTCACTTACAGAAGCTGCGGGAGGAAGTTCGAGCAGGCCCACGGCGCAGTCCTGCCTGGGGAAGGCCCGTCTGGGAGTGATCCTGGAAAGAAGAGCCTCCAGGACGCACCCAGCCCTGGGAGTCAGTGGTTGCCAGTTACTGTGTCGGGGGAGTATCCCGAGCATTGGGGGGTAAAGGGAGAGAGAGCTTCTCAGAATTGAGTGGGCCGTGTGCAGAATAATCAGGGGTCTCGGGTCCAGGACAGCTTGTCACGCTCACTGGGAGTCTGGCTGACTCCTGCTGTGCGTTGTGTCTGTTTCAGAAGCCGTTCTCTTCACCCACAAGCTCAGAGTCAGTTACACCACTCAGTTACCCCAGGGTCCCCTATGGCAGCCGAGTGACAGCTGGCCACAGTGCAGAGAGATATATGTTTTTTAATGGAGGAATGGATCTGGGTGCTGGGAGCCACGAAGAAGGAAAGGGAGGGCAGGGACCGGACAAACACAGATGGAGTTGGGATTTTCCCGGAAGGAGAAAGGGTACACCCCTGGCTATGTGAAGAGGGACAGAAGA